CTCTCCTCCCGGTTCCGCCCAGCCGCCCCCTCTTTCCGTCGACTCTCCTCCCGGTTCCGCCCAGCCGCCCCCTCTTTCCGTCAACTCGCCCCCGGGGTCCGTCGCCTCGCCCCCTCCAGACGTCAACTCTCCCCCGGTGGCAACCAGCGCTAATCCACCCCCTGTCTCAATCACTCCCTCTCCCCCGGGCGTGATCTCCTCTCCGCCGTCAGACGTTCCTCCCCCTCCTTTCCCGACGAACGTCGCGTGCGACCCGGCGTCCCCCTTCAAGTTCACCTGCTACAGCAGTGGGGGGGACAGTTCCATCTGCTGCGACACCCCCTGCCCCGAAACTCCGGGCCCGGTCGCGTACTGTTCGGGCCAGCCGTTCCCCACGCTCCCCCCCCGGTCGCACAGGGCCCCGCACCCCCCTTCCCGACGAACGTTGCCTGCGACCTGGACTCGCCCAACAAGTACACCTGCTACAGCAGCACCGGCGATTCGTCGATCTGCTGCAACACCCCTTGCCCCGCAATCCCGACCGCGGTTCCGTACTGCGAGGGTCAACCGATCCCGACGGCTCGTCGGCCCCGCCCCCCCCCCCGTGGCGTGCTCACCCTACTCGCCCCTGCCCTACACGTGTTACGACAGCATTGGCTCCAGCTTCATCTGCTGCGGCGAACCCTGTCCCGGAACCCCAGGGCCTATTCCCGCCTGCACCGGGCAGCCAATCACCGCCATTCCCCCGCCGGGGCTGGCCTCCCCGCCCCCCCCAACGCCGTGCGACCCCGCGTCGAATCGCTCCAACACGTGCTACAACTCCGGGGGGAGCACCTTCGTGTGCTGCGACTCGCCGTGCCCCGCAACGCCGTCGGACGTTCCGTTCTGCTCCGCGCAGCCCATCGTGGCACTCTCGGCGCTTTCCGCGCTGAGCGCGCCGGCCCCGGCCCCACTCGCGGTCACCGTGTCGTTTCCCCCCCCAGCGGAGGTGCTCGCGAGCCCCCCACCTCCGCAGCCCATCGTGGCACTCTCGGCGCTTTCCGCACTGAGCGCGCCGGCCCCGCCCCGCTCGCGGTCACCTTGTCGTCCCCCCCGCCAGCGGAGGTACTCGCGAGCCCGCCCCCGGTGGAAACGACGGCTGCCCCCGCGCCGGCTCCGGACACTCCAACGCCGACGCCAACAGCGACCGTCGCTAGTTCTCCCCCCCCGGCGGAAACGACGGCGGCCCCCGCGCCGGCTCCAGATACTCCGACGCCGACGCCAACCGCGACCGTTGCGAGTTCTCCGCCCCCGTTGGAAACTATCGGGGCGCCCGCGCCCGCGCCGGAAACCCCAACCCCAACCCCTACGCCGACGCCGACTCCAACCGCGACCATCCCAAGCTCACCGCCCCCGGTGGAAACAACGGCGGCGCCCGTGAACCCGCCCCCCCCTCCTCCGAACAACCCACCTCCTCCTCTTGAAACTCCTACCCCTACCCCTACCCCTACTGCCACGGCGAGCGCCGTCGCCCCCACAGCAGAGGGGCCCGCGCCTTAAACACGCTGTTTTCGCGGCGCCAATAATATTGCAGGTGAGGCGTGACGGAATTCGACCTTAGGCTGAACGCTACAGTACGAGACCCTGTTGTTTGCGTCCACAGCTCTTTGCAGGGCCAACAAGAATCTGCGTGGAGACTGCTCAATCAACCTACAACCTAGTGGCCAGCGTTTGCAAGCATAAGCCGCGAATTGTGGGTGAAGCTCCTTGGCGCTTATGAATCTTCTTGCAACAAACACCCTGTTAGCAGTATACCCGACTCAAGACGAGAAGAGTCACGGTATTCAAAGGGAAGAGCCTCTGAATCGCAGTATCAGGTGCAGGTATAAATTGCCGGATTTTTGCTTGTGGCCGGCAGCATCGTACAGATTGGCTGCTGCTGTTCTTGTTGGCCTTCTGAACTGAGTTTGAATCTCGCAGGGTGGACAAATACGAGACGGGAGTGTGATCAAGTAACTTAAGGTGGAACAGAGGAGTTGCTCCAGCGTGACGGCTTCTCGTTTTGGAGTGGAACTAGAGTAGGGAGGATTCTAGAGGAAACAGCGGATGTCCTTCTGATTATGATTTGTTTGCCTGGTGATGAAGGCTGTTTAACTTAGAATTCAAAGACCAGCATAAGGGTGGTTTGAGAGGCCTGAAAAGCTTGCTCGAAGATTGTCTTGAAAGAAGTTTAGATTCTGGCCTTGTGCTTACTTTTCGGGTAAGACACTGAGTCACGTTTGTCAAGTCGTAGTTCTTAGCGGCTGCCAGTGTCGTTGGAGGTCTGAACAAGGCCCTGGGAAAGTCGAGCCTTCAAGTCTGAACGGTGTGTTAGGCACAAACCTCGCTAGGAAAGTTAAAGAGGGTCGTCACGTCGCAACCACTTTGGCACACTCGCGTAGACTTCTTCTAACTATGTCAAGGCCAGCTTTTAGCTAGTGACGCCAGTGATTCACGCTGTGACGCGCTTTCCATGGCTAGCAAGCTTTTAACTTCGATGGACAATTAGTGCCATTCCTCATAATTTTGTGGCGCCCAATTGTATGAGAACCATGCAATCGTTGTCGCGGGCGATTGAGTTTCTTATTCTACATAAGGTTTTGCGTGGCACTGCATCGAAAGCCCGCCTGACATGCCAAGTAATCAGTGAAGTGACTCTCTTACCCGCTGAGCGTCAGTGTGCACCTTATTAGAAATCAGTATACGGTATGCTATTGCAATTAAGGCCATACGTACCAACGTACGTTCATTTGCTAGTGATATCACATGAAAACTTTGGCAGCAAGCTGCCGGCCGCAGATACGACGGTGCGCTGAGCTAGATACTAACCGATCGACTGCTCCACGCAACTAATCATTGAATAAAACCGACTACAATTATATTACGTACACGCGTGCATGGCCCACACATGGCTTGATCGATTATTTATGGACTTACCTACACATGCAGTTGCTGTTGTGCGCGGCCTGTACGTTTCATCATATGATAGGGATATAATAAGACATCATGCATTGACCCGGCGCGGCGCGTGCGCCTAGCTAGCCAGCATGCCATGAAATCATTTGCCAATCGATATCTGCCAGACTGATAAGATAGATAATGATTCTATCAGACGCGGCCTAAACTATGTTTGCAATTGAATGCGTAGTAACGCGCGCGGCGTCAGGCTTTAGACGATTCACCCGGTCATTGCAGCAGAGGCGGCTCTATGGTCTTGAACCAGAGCGCAAACTTAATTATGGGCCAAGCATGATGCATGTACAATTCAATCCATCCACCGACAATGTGAATGTTTCACATTTTACGTTGATCAACATGGCATGCAATTGGGTGATGAACTTCGCACGCCTCACATGCAGTGCATTCAAAAATTTGAACGTATCCGGAATACGCTTCCGCAAGACGATCGATGTGCAAGTCTAGCGAAGCGCTTTAAGTGTGGGCCCCACGCATGACAACGGCTCGATCAACAACGACACAGACTTCCTTCAGTCCGGTCGGGATGTGAATTGATCCATATGGAGTTGGAGGGGCATTATACCTTACTACGCTAGCAAGTACAGTGGAAAAGCAAGCCGTCGCTTTCATACTTTCGAAGAGGTAAAAGCAAGCTCGGTCGCAGAAATGCTCCGGTCTTCCAACTGGCTAGAAACGAGATTATGCTCCAACATGGGAGAACACTTTCGCTATAATGCGCGAGTCGAGTGATCAAGGGAGCGGGAGATATCTAAAATAGATCCGTCTTTACACAGATGCTAATCATACCAGTTTGGAACGGCTATCTAAAGCACAAGGCTGAAGCGGAAGGTCGTTCTGCTCTGCCCACTCTTAGATCGAAAGCTAAGATTCCCGTCCTTCAGCTTACATCTGGATATATTCGTTTGTGCTTCTGGTCGGATCTGTTTTGGAAAATTGGGATTACGGATGACCTTGCATACCAATCTGTATGATAGATTTCGAATTTCCGCTGACATGAAGCCATCTGTATGTACATTGGGGTGACTCCCCAAGACCTTCGAGCCCGCGTTCCTTTGTAGTACACACATGCTGACTGTCGTCGCAAAACGTTGCCGTTTGTTGCAAGTCGTTGGATCGGCTCCTAAGTCTATGACATCTGCTGTAAGTCCACAATATACCCCTTGCGGAAGACACCCGGGTTCAGGCTGGTGCAAAACATAACCGGCGTGATGTCCCTGCCAATGACGAAAAAGAGCACTGGTTATTTGATTTTTTTTTTTTATAAAACGCAGTCACCTCTAAACCGCTGAGATGGTTGCTGCATTTTTGCAGAGAGAGTAGAATTGCGAACCTACTCAAAGTGCAAGCCTACCCGTTAGGTTGTCGTGGTGACCCTCTTCTCGCCTTCCATGAAACGGGATCTAGTTTCGAAAGCATTTAAGAAGGAAAGCCAGCTCGCTTGAGCCCAGCAAAGCGCCGATTCGTTCGGATGCGCTTCCAACCTACGAACACGTGGCTTCAAACCTTGCTCAGTATCCGATCCAACAATTTTCGAACACGTCAGCTCGAAACGGCGGGTTTCGAGAGCGAAAGTGGATTCAAAAGGACCGATTCCTGGGCTGTTTACTACCGAAAATGAATTCCGAGCCGCCTCACACAGCGCGCTGTTTGTCGCACTAACGGGATCGTTTGCAAACGCTTCGTCAATGCTTGACTTGTGGCTCTCTTATTGTCAACGACAGCAACATGTTTCCTCTCGGCTCATGCCTTTCAAAAGAAGCCCCTTCTTGCAAAAACGGTCCAAACCTGCTTGTCACCCGTAACGACTCCAATGTGCGCGCTTCACATGCGCTGCCCTTAAACAGACTCAGGAGAGCAAACTGGGGCGTATTCACACTTTCCAGTCACCACCAGGAGACTCCGAATACCGAGCTCTAAGTCAATGTCCTTACACCACGAAGTCACCATCAAAGAATCAAACCAGCATCATGGTTCGAAGCATTGTTCAGTCGTAAATCGGAGCCCGACACTGACGAGTGCATTCACACCATTATGCTCGCCCTCACCTGTCCCTGGTGTAAAGACGCTCCAACCAGAACGCGTGCAGCTCGGCGACCCGGGGCTCCCACACCTCCCGCGGCGCCGCGGGGTTAACCTGCACGCAGGAATTGGGTCAGCTTAACCAAGTCTTACCAAGTTTGGAAGCGGGAAGCGAAACGTAGACGAACACCCCAGCCCCAAAATCCTGAATCACCTGTACCCCAATGGTCGCTCCGAGCTCCCGGAACGCGAGTCGCAGCGCCAGATTGAGAGTAAAGCGAGTCATCACGATGCAACGATGCTATCACGAAAAGGATTACAGCAAGAATCAAAACGGAGAATGACAACCCAGAACCCTGAAACCCTACAATTCTAAACCCCCAAAATCCAGAACCCTGAAACCCTGTGTCACTTGCACTCCGATGGTCGCCCCGAACTCCCGGAACGGGAGCCGCAGCGCCAGCTCAATCTCCGTGATTTAGAACTTCGAAGCATAAAAAACAATCCTCAAAATCACAATCCAAAGAAGCAAAGAAAGACAGCTAGAAGCAAAAAACAGGTTCTTTAAATGCAACCTAAAAGCCTGTTATCACCTGCACTCCGATGGTCGCCCGGATCTCTCGGAACGCAAGCCGCAGCGCCATATTCAAATAAGCGAGTCAGAGCGAAGTGACACAAGAAAAGGAACACAGCAAGAAGCAAAACGTAGCATGACAACCCAAAAGTGGACAACAAAACCCTAAAAGCCAGAATCACCTGCACTCCGATGGTCGCCCCGAACTCCCGGAAAGCAAGCCGCACCGCCAGGGGATAAGCAGGCTAGTCAGAACGAAACAACAAAGAAAAAGAGAATATCATAACATCGATTAACCCGGAACTTCGACATGGAACATAAAATATTAACCCAGAAACCCTCAAACCGTAGATTACCGTACCTGCACTCCGATGGTCGCCCCGAACTCCCGGAACGCGAGCCGCAGCGGCGCCGGCTGCCGGAAGTAGCCTAGCTGCCAGAGCTGCTCGAGCGTCTGCACGGAGCGACTGCTGATGGTGCGCGACCAGGCTTCGCGGTCGCCGCTCCAATGGGCCAGCCACAGGGCCTCGCCCAAGTCGAGGGGGTCGTCGCTGTGGTAACTGCAGGGAAAGGAGGAGGATTCCGTTTTGGCTGGAACGGTGATGGGCGGTAAAGAACAGGCTCGGTTTGTATGTAAAGCGACTGAAAAGGGGAAGGTTTTGGAGGTGCCCGGATGTTATACTGGCGGAAACAAGAGGGTTACACCGACCAGGTATCAAAATAACGGGAACGAGACAAAAGGTTCCGACCACTTTGCGGACTGGGGGCAAGGGTTGAGTGTTTTCTCTGGGCAGTTGTTGGACCGCGGCAAGAAAGCTTCTGAATCCTTGACCATACGTTGGACGGGCGTTCGTTTGCGACACGCTACGTGGGACGAGACGATGAGAAAGAAGTAAGGTCAGCTGTTTAACACCAAAAGAGTCAGATAAGGTATCGTGCGTCTCATAAAAATAATCACGGAGTCGACCACGGGGGATAGGATCTGCGGCAAAGGTCTCATCTCATTCCATCCAGCTTGAGAAAGAGAACGGCAGCCAAAGTGCAGGGAAAAAAGCGATTCTACCTCCAAAGCAAACAGAATCCAGGCATCTTCACATCTCGAGAACCAGCCTCCCCCGACCACACCCCCCGCCCACCTCTGGTACCGCTTTTGTTTTCTATCTTGAGCCGTACAGTATCTACGGGCACGAATCGCATGCTATGCGGCGGTCTCTATCTCCTAATACGAGGGCATCGAACCACCATCGCATTTCAAGGAACAGTCTCCCCCGACCGCCGTTCCCGCCCGCCTCTGTCTGGTATGTTCCTTTGTCAAATCGTTACAGCAAGCTTGTAGCTTGTAAAACTAAAAATCAACCCTGAAGACACCGCCCCCTTACCCACCCTAACCCCGAAACTAAACCCACCCGTCGGGAGGCTGGCGAGCTCACTATCTTTGGAGCATGATATACTTAACTCGACGCTACTTACCTCTGGTACCGTTTCTCCACCATCTTGCGCATGTCGGCGATTTCCCCCGAGAGCACGTCCCGGTTCCCCGCCACCGCCTGGACGATAAGATATGTCACGTATCCGTCATACGCGTCTAAGTTGCCCTGAGACGGAACCGCGGGGCGGCTCAGGTCGATGCTCGCTTTCCAGATCATGCGCGGGTTGTCCGTTTCGCGGCGGAACACGAACCGGGGGTGTACGGACTGGGCTAGCTGAACGGCCCTGCAAGGGGGGTGGAAGAGAAAATTGTATAAGCTAAGGAGAAGAACCGGAAGAATAGGAAAAGGAGAATCTTCAAACGGAGTAAGGACTTACTTTGTAAAGGGAGAAAAGAGTAGCTAGTGATGACTGCTGACGGTAAGATAAATACGTTTTGGGCTAAATGGCACGCCCTGCAACGCCCGGGGAAGGGAGGCTTGTTCGTGAGCAGATCAGTAACCTGGGAGGGTAAAACAAATGAAACTTTCGCCTGGAAATCTATCGCTCTCAAGGTAAGGGAGAAGGAGATGATCAGCTGTCACGCCATATATTCAAAGGAGAAGCTTTGGTTACTTGTAAGGCCTTGTAAGGGACGGAAAGAACAAGCAACAAAACGATATTCGTCTTCTGGGCAGGTCGAGGAGGAAGTGTTCGTGACGGTTACGGGTCGACGTGAGAAAACCTCATCTGATGAGACGCCCTGCAGGAAGGGAAGCCGCAGGGAGAGCACATACTAGAATGGAGGACTTCCTTTTTGATGCGGAAACGAAGGAGAGGGTTAAGTGGTGACGGGTGAAAGTTGAAATATTTCCGGAACGGGCACTTAGAGCATGTTTGAAGAAGAAAGTGAGGGCTCAGAGCTGAGAGATTCTGCTCTCTGGCAAAGGACATGAGGCGGCGACTGCTGACACCTGGACGTTACTCGTGTTTGATCGGGGTTGGACACATAGGGTTTTGCGAGAAGCGAGGTCACGTTTTGAAGGAACGGACGGTGGCGCTAACAATCAGCGGCGGGGAGTTTGACATTGTCACTTGAGGGCTCTTTAACGGGTCCGTTGATTAGAAAACAAACTGAGAGTCCAATTGAAAATATATCGGGAAGGCGTGAACACAGATATAACAGGCGGAAGACCAGAGTACCTATGGTTTACATATCGTTCATTTGTCCGGCAGATACAGAGGGTAGTTCTCAACTAGTGAAAAGCAGTGACTGTTCGGAAGCAGCTCACTCAACATCGTTAGCTTCAGCAACGGAACAGGATTTAGAATCAGAGAGTCCGAGCCTCCGTGAAAGCATAAGAGGGACGCAAAGAAAAGGAGCCAGCATCAGAGCCAGTTCCGGACAATTTTGACACTATAAGTGGAATGCAATGAGCGAAATAAGCAGGAAGGGTACGTTGTACGCTGGACGGCTCTGTTCCAAAAGACTGTGGATGCTTGCGACACAACACGATCGCAGCAGCGGGGTCATCACAGCCGTCCGATGTTTTTACGATCTTGCGTATTTTCACAGTATGCTCTGAACGTCTCTAAGATTTAGGGCGATCCAGGAAGTTTTTTCCTTGCCACACTTCTCCTGTCTTTCTTCTCAGAAGGTAGTGAAGACTACGATCAGAAAGAGTTCCGTGTCTCAACCAGTACCTCAGAATGCACAAACAGCGGAATGGCCACCGAAATGAGCGGCAGAAAAACAGAAAGACAGGCGCATCAGCGACGCCCAGATAACGCAGCTGCTGATATTTCTGTAGGAACGACGCCGCTCTTCTTTTACATTTTTGAAAGCGGACCCCGGCCCGCTCAGTAGGCTACAGCAAATCTATAAGCCTTCGCCTGAACGGATAGATTCAGACGTTCTCTTTTAAAGTCCTCTTCGTACGAGCTGACCTGCGCCTAGTAGACGGGCCGTCTAAGGACTCTGGACAGTCTTTCCGCGTCTAAGCACAAATTCAAAGCGACGTACTCATCTTGAAGGGATGCTCGGAACGCAATTCCGGAGAAGACGAATGACACCAAGCATTAAAAGGACCGGGCGAAGCAAAACGACGTCCTCAAGAGGGAACGGAGGCTTGCTATGAACGGCTCAGTAAAGCAGCTGCTTTCATGGGCCAAAGAAAATTGGGCCAAGAAGATTTACAGCTCCCAAAGCCATCATAGCCCTTGTCTTGGTTGTTTCCGCCCATTCCTCTAGTGTCTCTAACGCCCGCATGAGGAAGGTGCAGATCCAAGCTGAACGATCACCACCATACTGGACTTGACTTGATTGCTACCAGCAGAATGCTCAATGACGAGATAACAAGTGCTGGAGAATGATTTAACCCTTTTGGCAAAAGTGATTGTGAACTGGTCCGCTGCTGAGAAGGCAAACGAAAATATAAGCGAAAAAAGAGACGGGGAAGGCGTATGTTCTCGAACAACGTCATGACTCAGCAGTAAAGAGCGATAATCTTTAGAGAACGTCATCTTCGCGGCTGATACACAAGATGAATCTGGACTGTGGGATGTACATCACGTTCGGAAGCATCTCAATGAATAGCAAGAGCTGAATAAAAACCTAAGAGCCCATTCTGGAGCAATGGCAAAAGCATAAGTTGCACGCAAACGAGCTGTAAAGCGTGAATTGTGGATTGTTGCATTTTCTGCATGGATGGCTCCGTCCAAGCAGAAGGCTTGATTGCAACGCAGCGTGGTCGCAGCAGCTTCATTCGTCACAGCCGTCCAAAGTGTAGTCTGCGTAGCACAATCCCCTCTCGACGTTTGTCTAAAAATATAAAGCATTCAGAAAGCCAGCATCGTGGGCGCTTCTGTTATTTCTCCAGGCGACCCAAGTTGTCAGGCTTTGTGCAAAAGAGCGCGTTTCTCCAGCCAATCCAGAAGGCATAGATTGGAACCAATCTGTGCCGGTTGCCGACGAGAGAGGATGAAGGAGAGAAAGCACGAGGCGAACCATGGCAGAAAAACATGATGTTGCTTTGTGAGGAGTGCCAAAAGGAACCTCTCACAACAACATTATAGACAACTTTGAGGTACTTGACTGAGTCCAAGATAACCAAAGCCTTAACAAAAAAGCGAGACGTATTTGAGTTAAGTTGACCAGCACCTGCACTGGACCGGAAAGATCTCTACTACTGTTGTCTGCTCGCGAATGGGCAGTTTTTCAGCACGACGTGGATGCATACGTATCTTGAAGGGGTTGCGAGAAACAGGGTCCAAGAAATGAGGGAGTCCAAGAAAAGAATCAGGAGGAACGGGCGAAGTATCAGAAGTCCTCGAGAAGAAAAGACGGCTGGCTACAACGGCTCAGGAGAGCAAAACCCCTCCAAAATTCTTGTGCTAAAAGATACATGCCCAATGCAGCACCCATCAAAGCTCTATATGTACCATGTTTTTCTGGGTTTACTTCGCCCATTAATCTTGTGCATCTGACCGTTTATGTAGGTTCCAAGATTCTGATTGGAGTTACCAATGGTATATGGTCTCAGATTCTATGCTAGCTACCGCCCGATTCAACCTCCCTGGATTGTAAAAGTTGCGTCTTTCAGATGCAAAGGAGGAAACGGAAGGGTCAGCGTTCTGCCGACAATTTGACTGCAAATCGTCCCTACGGGTGGCAAACCGGAAGCACAGAGACGCGCCGTCCAGAATAGTAAAATCCACCTGAGCGACCCGCCTTAACGGCACCTCGAACGCCAATCGTTCGCTTTTGCAGGCTCAGCTTGCTGACGACATTTCTGGCATTCCCTTTTTGCCAGCATTTCATAGCTTATCGTCACAGCCCTGAACTCAACCATGCGGCGCTCCACTCAAGGACGTGAGTCGCTGCACCTATTGTGGCACTCCGCGTTTTGTTGAACGACCATAGCCGTTGGACAAGCCTTCAGAATCTCTGACGGCTGCACAGTCGGACTTTGAGAGCTGTAACGCAGATCGAGTGGCGTTAAATTCTACAAGATTTAGTGGAGACGCTCGCAATGTAGAATCCCGACCGGACTGAGCTTCGGTGCTTGCGGCTCAGACAGTCGTAGCTCTGGCAAAGGGCAATTGACCAGCCAACGCTCGCTGACTTCCTCCTAGCCCTTGAAGCCCTTCGTTTCCGACATGAGTTTGGTCGCTGCCTTTACGCTTGGTCAACATCTCGCAAAATCTGCCAGCCAATTGGAAAAAGGAAGGTTTCAGTAACAGCCGGCGCCGATTTCTGTACTCTAACAAGTCATGAGAAGCAGGTTCGTCGAGCGGGTACAAAAAGCCGTCATTTTAGTAATTACGGACTTATAACGGGCAACTTCGACCTTTGGCCCACGCCGTCTCTGAGCTTGTACCTTACCGCAAGTGAGTCGGACCACCCACCTCGAACATTGGTCGTCAGGTCCCTTACCAAGTATCAATGATACCATTTTGACCACCGAACGAGAATCGCTTTAGGCAAGTGTCAGAAAATGTTTCTGAGACAGTACTATCATGTGTCACGTTTGCCGCATCACAAGGGTCAAGACGGATTTCGGACAGCTGTGCAGTAACTTCTTTTTGAACGAAATCTTCAGTGGTTCAAGGCGGGGGGGGGATCATCCGACTCGCTATCAAAGAAGTCATCCTTCTGGTGCAGTGGATGCGAAAACGAAGCAACGAACACAAGTTCGCCCGGACTTCAGATCAAAAAGCGGTTGATGCCGAATCTGGCAAACGAGAATGACTGACAAAGCCGACGAATTGTTTATCAGTTGCGAACCTCGATGAGCCACTCCAAGCACACTTCTATCGCACGGCTCAGCCCTCGTCGACCCTGCTGAGCACATACTGCCCAGGTATTGAAAACATCAGAGCCGGCCCTTGAAAGGAATCAATCTATATGTCCGCTGAACTTCAGGACCGTGTATTTCTGGCGCAAGTGACCACCGTGCTCTTTTCCACTCAACGCCCCGGGAAGTTCAAGTTGAAGATGGTCGCTCCGGGTAGAGCAGCGAGCCTGACAATCGCAGAGTCCGGATCTCCGGATGGCCCTTCTTTAAGCGGCATCGAAAAAGAAGTGCACCAGAGGAAAGCCCTGCCAAATGCCCACAATAATGATCGACCAGAGCGACGTCGCTGCATTGGATGGGATTGCAGGGGAGAGCTAAATTCAGACAATCAACGCAAGAGCTGTTTGAGGCAGGCGAATCGTATAAATGACTCCGGTTCGGTTAGTTCGCTTTGAGGTCGAGTGAAGCGCTTCGGGTCAATGTCACCCTCAATACATTCTAAAGAGCACCGCTTGGAAAACGGCAACAAATTCCTCGCATTTGATGCCCAATATCAGAAGGTTAAGAAGGGCTTTTTAAGTGTTGGAATGCTTGACGTTTTGGGTTGAGGCGTACGTTCTCCTCAAACATCCAGCTAGAAATTCTTATTGCCCCTTTGGAAAACTTCCAACATCGTCATCAATTTGCCCAGGGTGTTCCACGTAAGTATTCCAGACTGAAACGAAATAGGCCTCAAGCACTGCACGCGTCTGTGGCGCTGTCTTGTCAATTCTTAATTGCGGTTTGCAAGAGTCTTGCTGTGCCAATCTACAATGTTTCCGAACCACAGCAAACTGCTCGATGCTCCGAGTCTTAGTAGACCAAACTTAAATTCCATGTTTGAATGCTTTAAAGCACTGAGAATACACCAGCAGACGTGACGGAACAGACCGAGCGTCGGGCGAGTGGGCAATGAGTACTGGATCGCCGGCCTAAGCCACCAGCTACTGGGCTGGCAAAATACGATTCAGCAGGCTTGTCACGTCCGTAATTGCCACACCTCACAAATTTCAGTCAAAGCACGTTGCAATCTGCTCGACTGGATACCGAGTCCGGGTTTGAACAACCAGCCGGCGACCCCACTGACTCTTTGCGATGGCCCACCAAAGGTCTGGGCAAAGGAACAGATGGGGCTTGGCCCGAAAATACTAGCTTTACACTTGCACTAAGCTCTACTTTTGAGGGGGACTGAAGCCGCTGCCATTCAGTTCAAAGGTGAGAGTTTGCAGGCACCGAATGAACGAGTCTTTTGGA